TCGCTTAAGGATTTTTCTTTTTCATTTTCTCCGCTAATTATTAAGGAAAGCAATAAGTACAAACAGGGAATTTTTTCTTGGCTATGTGCAAAGCAACCCTGTTCCTTTCCTGTCATATGCGGTGCTTTGCGCAAAAGATGCTTCTACAGTTAACTGTTTCTTAGCTGAGGTTTGCTGGTCAGTTCAGGTTCGTTTGTCCCGGAGAGACTGGCGTTTTAGATGTTGGCAAAAGGTTAGTGATGCTGCTGCCTTTAAATGAGATGGTCTTTAGGCAAATGTTGCAGCGTGGGTCTCAAACCCAGGCCAGCTTCCTCACTGAACGATTCTGCCATTGCCACGTTTTTCTTTTTGTATTGCTTTTTTATCTATTAACTGATTGTCACTCTTGAACTGCGGACCTTTGCAGCTCGTTCAGATTTTTCTCGAGGCCTTTCTGTTTTTGTTTTTCAAAACATTTAGAAAACTGTGGATCGGGTTCATTCCACTATAGATTCACTTATTTCTTAAATCTTATTAAATCTGTACACGTTTGCTAAAATTTAGTGTTAAAATAAGTGGGAAAAAAACATCTAGAAGTATAAATATGTAGTTAGGGAGTGTAACTTAATCCAAAAGATTGAGTTTTTGCATCTTTTTGGATGAACTTTAGTTAAAATGTGACTCCTGTTTCATTCTGGGCTCTACAGGTTGTTTCAGGGGGTTTTACCAGTCCGTCTGGGGCTGAAGAGCTTTGAAATGTGGGGAAAACAAGCTCTGATTTTGGATTTATGCTGGATGCATTGAGTTAAACAGCAGAGGAGTGACATTCTGAGGCAGGGGAACGTTTTTTCTTTTAAATCACTGAACTTCTTGGTTTGTTTTTTGCTCTTAGGCATGGTTACTATGGCACATCGGGCCCCTCTGCCCCAGTCAAAGCCCTGACGGACCTCAAACTCCACTTGGTGAACCCTTCCCACCCTGCTTCTTTCCCATCCTCATCCGATTTGGTAGTCATCCACCCAGGGGCCGTTTTAGCCATGTTGGATCTCCTCCCCTCTGTCTCCTCTGAGAGTCAGCCGGAGGTGAGAAAGCAGACTTCAGAATAAAAGAAAAATCATTCCATGCCAGAGATCATGAAAAAAGACGTTCAAACATACGACAGAGTTTTTCTCAGTTTCTAAGTCTTCTTTTCTCCTCCAGCATGCCCTCGACCTCCAGCTCGCTGTTGCCAACATCCTCCAGCTCCTGGTGAACAGCGAGAGGAACCAGCAGGTGTTGTGTGAAGCCTGCCTCCACCAGCGGCTGCTGCAGCGTTGTAGTCAGGCCCTCGGGGATGAAGACCACCCGCTGCACCCTCCACTGCAGAGGATGTTCGAGAGGCTGGCTTCGCAGGCCCTGCAGCCGATCGCACTCAGGTACCGCCGCCAGTTTCTGGTGGTTTAATTACTCCTCCGCTTCTTTCCAACTCAAGTATGAAACACATTGATGATGAACTGATAAAGCAGCTTAGGAGCAGTGAGATATGCTAGATTTCTCTGGAAATGTTTCAGGTAGGCATCTCTGGCTTGAATTGTGCTGGATGGGAAGAAGCATCTTTTCTTTCGTTTTTTTTTTTACTTAATCTTGTGTGTGCTTTGCTATTGTTGCGACAAACCTCCCATCTTTCTCAATGATCTTATCTCAGTTTGTTATTTTTCTGCAAAGCTATAAAATCAGCAGAGTGGATGCTTTTCTAGTTGACTGTTTTTCTTGTTTCTTCTGATGTTCTGGTAAATTTCTCCTGCAGGGAATTTTTACGTCTCGGAAACCCTCTGAACTGCGGTGCCTGGGACAAGAAGCTCCTGAAGCAGTACCGGGTCCACAAACCAAGCTCCCTTGGCTATGATGCGGAAATGAGAAGTAGGTTTCTCCTCTACGTCCTCCCAATCTGTTCCAGTGTTCCTAATTGGATGCATATGCAAAGAGCAGGAGAGCAGAAAGTTATAAAGACTTCACAGTAGAATGCAGCTTTAAAAAAGTTGTTGCCCTCAGTTTATCATCCTTAAAACAATCTAGTTAGATTTAAGAGAATATTATTAAGCCCTTTATTAATTTAAAAAAGTGTTTTAATGTTTTTATTAATGCATTTCCTAAAAGGTTAGGTTAATTATGAACAACGTCTACACTGCTTGGATAGAATTAAGTAGAAATAATGTTTCTGTCTTAACACTACTCAGCCTTTTAGGTGCATTATCAATGCTGAATAATCATTAGAATTAAGAGGAACCTTTTTTGTCTTGCTATATTCTAATTTAATAAGATGAAATTGGTAATTTTTACAGCTGAAGCACACGGTTCGTGAAATCATCACTTGACTTAGTAGCTAAACATTTCTCTCCAAAACATGTTGGACGGACTTAAAGAGAGGTGGATTTTTCCAGAAGATTTTTCAGCCTGGTAGAAAGCCAGATGAACCTTCTTAGGATAAGAGAAAGCCAATCAAAGATCTGCCTGTTAAAATAAAGATCTGCCTGGATCTGATCTGAATACTTTGGTTCGTTTCCTGCTAACAGCTGGTAGCCTTTGTAATTTCCTGGGCTCCTCAGCAGGTCTTAATTGCTTATTGTGTCTCCTCCCGGTTCATAGTGGATAATAAGTCCCCTCTAATTACTGCTGTATGCAAACAGCCTCTGGTTGGGCGCATTCTGTTGTTGTTTGGGTTATTAGCTCCTATAAGTCTTCCCTAGCTTTAATCTGTGCTTGTCGCTACTGCTAATCCTTGATAAATAATGGATTTTGTTTTCAGAGGAAGGTGAAATATTAAACCTTTGTCCAGGAGTTTGTTCTGGACCTTTGGGACAATAAACAGATGATTTAGAGCTGTTTGCTAACAGAGGTGCTTACAGCTCCCTGTGGAGCCGTTCAGACCTGACATTCACATGGATCCTGGCTGATTTAGTTACAAGAGGCAGCTTTAAGTCGGATTCTTCACACCTGCCAGGAAAATCTTTTCTGTGTTTATTGAATGTTGAAATTTTAGTTTAGTGTTTGATGATTGTTAAATACCTCTGGCCTGTGCTGCTTCCTGGTAGCCTTGAGCTTTGTTTCTTCACACTCTTCATAGTGCGTGAAGGTGAAGCATCCGGCCGTTCAGCTCATGGATTGATCCTCCATATTTTCAGCAGAATGGCGTCACCTAGGTCAGGGTTCTGCAATCTTTAAAACGCAAAGAGCCATTTTACACGACACCCAGCAAAATAAGTCGTTTATAGCCCCAAAATATTACATGATGCTAAATAAATAAATCAAAACTTCGTATTTTTCTGAAATATATGCTATAGGAAATCTGTTGCCATTTTATTTAACATTAAAAATTTTATTTGCATTTTTAGTTTTTAACTCTTTAGCACCAAACGTGTCATATTTGAGTTTTTGCGACCTTTAAATCATGAGTGTGTTTTGTTCTAGAAAAAACTGATTTACACAATCAGACACATGTAGTAAACATAAAATCCATAATAAGTTGTTAGAAAGGCCTAATGTATCACAAATGACACAAATAATTTCTCACTTATATTATTCATTTTTTTTGTCAGAATGCTTGATGACATTAGTTTTAGAAAATAATATTTTTTTGTGTGTGTGTTCCATGGTTTATTGGGGTTAAAATAAGGAAAAACATAAATGTTTCACAAAGAGGAAGCATGGATTTTTATTTTTAAGTTACTATTTTATGTAAAAAAAAAAGAAAAAAAGAAAAAAATGTTTTTAAACTAATGACCAATGATCTAAAACACATTTCTGGTTCTTTGAAGTCATTATCTTGTCTTTCTAAAGTGTATAAGATCGTTTTCTTCAATATACTAAACAATTAGTTGGTGGTTTAATGTTTTTAGTCCATATAAAGAGCCATTGTAGAGGGTCAAAAGGATCAAAAGACTGAACTGCAGTTCGTAGACATAGGGAGCTCCCCATATGTTACTATTATATAGTTATGACAGAGTTAGCAATTAGTAGGTGTTGCAACTTAATGGCGAGCCCATCTGACACCTGCTCATGTTATAGAAATGAGTTATAGAAATGGCCAAAACATGGTCACATGGTGTTTCATCCACAAGACAAAAAACATTTTATTGTAAACAAATAAAATGAGATTTAAAATTCCACCTGACATGTTTCACTCTGCGGGAGTAGTGCAACAACAGGTATTAATTTTTAGCCGCACCCCCTAACAGCCGGAATCATTGGAAACTTGAGGCTCAGACCTGTCCAAGAACGGGTTGAGGGAATTGTGCGACTATTTCAAGTGACGTAACAGGCATGCGTTACATAAGCTTGCTCTGTTATTCTTATTTTCTTTTCAGTTTGTTGATATTATTGGTAAATTTCAATGAAACAAAGGCTAAATCTTAGGAGAAAAGGCTTTGTCTTATGCCGAAGGTCTCCAGTAATGTAAATCAGCATAATTGCCCGGCCAGATTCCCTTTTATGAGTGAAAAAAAAAGTATTGTGCACAATTTTGCCACTTTTGGCACCACTGTGCCAAAATCAATTATTCAGTCAATATTAGCTTTATATTCAAGAGGCGATATATTTAAAACGTCTATATATTTTCAATTCTGAGGGTTCATGCCAAGTTTCAAATGGTTCTTCATGGTGTTTTGCAGTGTTTATTTTGGGAAAATTTTTTTGAGGATACTTTTTTTTTTTTCTTTCTTAGTTAAATCACCTTAAATCAAACATGGTGACATTTAAAATAGTGGTTCCACCAGAAAAATGTTCCTCAATGCCTTTCTGTCATACAAATGCAAACAATTGTATTTCCAATTGATAGTTTTGGAGCTGTACTTGCTTTAACTCATTAATGTAATTTCAGGCAGAATTTGCTCTCAAGACCCTCAGGGCTTAAGGGGTTAATAATATTTTATTTTACCAGAAATAATCCAGGTAATGATTCTGTTGTTTTATTTTAGTGATTTTATGTGGTCCTTTATTATGGCTCCTACTGTGTTGTGCTTGGATTGCTGACATAAAGCTAATGAAAATGTCAATAATCTTCACAAGGGTAAGTGAGGCAGTCATGAGGTGTGTGTTAGGAGTAGTGGATGGTAGGAGTGATCACCTTTGAGTCACTTTTTTGCAAAGGTGATGGGCATTTTAAGAGAAAAGGCTAAACAAAAGCCTTCAGGACTAGGATAGATGGTGGAGCCGGAGAGTTGGAGACTAGGAGGAAGAGCTTAAGTTTGAATAATAAGAAGATATCTTGGGCAGTCAAAATGGAAAGTGTCTGGGAACTAAAGCAAAAGAATTGTTTCAGCTTTAATCATGGATGTTTTTTTTTGTTTTTAAGAATCAATGTAGACTACTAAATAATCAGTTTTTACTATCTATTCTTGAGTTGTTCAGTCGTCCCTTATACGCTGCTGATTGTCCCGTTGTTCTCTCTGGCTTTACAGACAGCATGACTCTGTCCATGGAGGGCTTCGGCCCCGACAGCGTCTTCACCACACCGGCGGAGGACAACGGTCAGTACCGCATCAGCCGTAGCCTGGTGCGCTCCGCCGAGGACAGCACCGTGCCCCTCACCCGAGTCAAGTGCCTGGTTTCCATGACTACGCCCCACGACATCCGGCTGCATGGATCAGCCGTCACTCCAGCGTTTGTGGAGTTCGACAGCTCGCTGGAAGGCTTTGGGTAAGTCAACATTATCGTCCCTCATTTTTAAAATTTTTTTTATTGCAGAATAATACATAAAATAAAGCAGTTGGTGCAAAACAATTATGTTGAAGCTAGGGCTCTGTGATATGGGTTTAAGGTCTAATCTCAAACCAAATCCAGTGAATCAATTTTTTTTCTCAATATTTACCGTAATTTAAAGGGTAATGAAATTGAAGCTGTAAAAGATCCTTGTTAGATAATAATGCTTTACAACAATCAACAAAATTGTAACACTCGAAATGTTTGCAGCTCTGGGTTTTACACAGTGAGCTAGTTAAGCAGTTATATCAGGAACGCTTAGTGACCTTTCATTTTGGAAATCGAAATTACATTGAACAGCTTTAAAAAGGCCAGGTAATGAATGGCTGAAAAGTCCCCACTTTGGACACCAGAAATCAAGTTGGATGGTGAAAACTTTTGAGTCCTTCCTATTAACTTCAGATGTACTTTTTGAAAATAGAATTGGTGCAGCAGATGTTGTCCATTCATTCTTGGAATTTCCAAACAGATAGTTTTTTTTGTTACCGGTGACACACGCCTCAGGGCGCCTCGTTATTTCTCCGTGCAATGAAACATGTTTTTTTTCTTCTTTTACTTCACAGCAGCTTCAACTGTCTCATCAGGAGACTGTTATTGGCCTGCAGTGGTGCAGCTCCGCATACAAATAGGCTTATTTTCTGCTTTTTATGTCACGCCGACTCCCTTTTGCCGCTCCGCGTGTGCTGCTGACAGACCCCACTCCCCCACCTCCATACCCCCCACAGTTAACAGTGTGTTTGGTGCCAGTGGATGTTAGTGCATAAAATATGTTCCTATGAATATGACCTTGGCGATTTGCTTCCACATTACGGTAGACATGCCTCACAAATTGGCTTCTTATTATTGAATCTACAAAGTGGTAACACACAGTTAAGGCTGAAAATTATATATATTAATATGTATGTTTATATGTATGTATATAAAATTAGTAAAATTTCTTGTTTAATCAGCACTTTTTAATAAATATATTACAATAAATTATATAGAAGCACATACCTGGCCATACATTTAATATTACTCCTTTTTTTTTTTTTTTTTACTTCCATTTCCTTTTGTTAAACATAGACGTGTGTAGTGTCTACTGAAACATGGCTAACGGCTAAACCATTTCTGCAAAAACGCCATTAATAGAAAGAAATTGTATCACCACAAAACCTTAAAGAAACCACTCAGGATTCAAACAGCAAAATTGAGCAACCCCAATTATCTCTCATGATCGGAAAGCTTTATTTATAAACCGTGTTACTCTAGCCATTCTTTCTTTTCTCCAAATTCTGTGCTATTAGTACCATATTTGCTGAAAAACTGTGTCCCAAGGTGCTTTATAAGCTTTTTCCCAGAGAGTTTACAGATTTTTGATCAGGAGTTGATCAGTGTGTGATTGGTAGTTGGGTTGTTTTATTGTGAAACCTAACTAGATTCTGGTGGCTCTGAGGATGTAAGTGAGATTGTTTCTGCCAATCCAACTGTAGTTATTGATCGATGAACGGATCAGACACCTGTTAGTTGATGTCGGGGGGGGTATTCTCTCTGCTTAGATTACCGTATTTTCACGACTATAAGGCACATATAAACGTCTTTTTTTCCCCTCAAAATGTGCCGCGCGCCCTATAGTGCGGTGCGCCCTATGTGTGTTGTTACTGCGGACCTTGTTGAGACCACCATGAGAACGTTAAAGGGGGAAGTGTGGGCGTGGATTGTGAATAAAAGAACAGGTAAGTGCTTTATGCAGAACTCCTCATCTCCTCATTGAGGAGATGATGAAAGAGTGGCTGAGGGAGGTGAATGTAAGGAGACCAGGTGGTTTTTTCCACGCATCACCATCGCTGTTAATCTGTGACTCCTAGCGTGCCCATCTCACAGCTGATGTGAAAAACATGGTGAAACAAATGAACGCTGTGCTTGCTGTTATTCCGGGAGGTCTGACAAAGGAACTTAAACCGCTCGACATCGGTGTGAACCGGCCGTTCAAAGTAATGCTGCGTTCACACCGGACGCAGCAAGAGCAGCAAAATGTTTTTAAGTGAGAAAATCCACCTGAAAGC